CTCGCCCGGCCGCCGCGAGGTAGTGGCGAGGCGAAGCGTGCGCCCGCTCGGCGGCGGCCGTTGGCGGGCGACTGGCCCGCGAGCGCACTTTCGCTCTCCAGCCGGCTATCTCCTCGAGTGAAGTTGCTGACACACAGGAAACCCTCCGACCGCTGAGAGCCTGCTGCCCGCGGCTCCCCCGCCGCCAGTCACAGGCTGAGGTCTCTAAGGCCCCCTAGCACCAAGCCAGGTGTTTGCAAACTGCGCACAGCCGGCAGTCCGGGCTGGGAACGCCCAGGCGTTGCGCGGCGCCTCGCTTCGCCCAGCGCAAGTAGGAACCTGCTGCTCCGGAGTGCGCGAGCCTCCCAGGGAGCGAGGCTGGGAGGAGGCTGGGGAGGCCCCTCTGCGGTTCGCATCCGTGCCCCCCTTTATTCCAATACTTTTCCTGTTAACCAAATGCTCTACTGATAAGCCCACGTCACTAGGAGCGTCACTGCGAGAATTTCTAAAAGGGCCTGGTAAAAATCGGGTTCGTAAATTCTACGTGTTGGTTCAGTCCAATTTGACGTGATAGACACCTAATACGTACTGGATAAACAAGCTCCCAAATCTTCCGGGTGAACTACTTTTAATTAAAGATTAGCGACTACAGTGAAAAATATTGAGTCAATAGCAAAGCTTTCGGAAATGACCGAAATATGAAATACAGTTTTATGTAGATATAAAACCCAATCTCAGTTCCAAAGTGATTAAGGTATACCTGGGGGAGGTGTTTCCGATCCTTCTTCTTAGAGTGATTGGCTACAATTACCTCTAGTGAGTATTTTAAAAATAATGAGGACTTCCCTGATTATCACACTTACTTAAAAACTGCTTTTCCCCCCTTGAATACATCAAAAATTTAGCCAGTGCGTTTCACACAGGTACGTGAGAATGCTTAATTGAAAACTAATTGAGTTGTTTGCTGTTCAGGGACATATTTAAATGGGCCCACCCCAGAAAGGAAACAAGTACCCTTTGACAATGTACATTTAATGATATATTAACAGAAAATTTTCTTTTAACATCATTTGTTTAAAAAAAATCTATAGCGCCCTTAGAAAAATCCAAAGGGGAAGAAAAATCCAAGAACAAAATATATGCTATAACCGTTTCTTTCTTGTCCCGGATGTTACACAACAGTGTTCCCTCGAAAATATTCAGAGGAAAACCACGAGCTGTCGACTTTAATACTAGAAGGAAGATACACCCAGACCCCAGGCAGTGTTTGAGAGAAACTCGTACACAAAGGGCCATAACCAAGTACATGACCCACCATCAACATGCTAGTGGTGGTGATAAAGAGAACAACATGAAAATACAGTGAGAAAAATGAAGTAAATAACTCAAAGAGTAAAATGTTGCTGTTCAAAGAGACTTGATTATGTTTCCCTCCAGTCTCCAAATTAAATTATTCTGTAACTCTGAGCCTTAACATGGAACATCTTTCTATCGTTAGGAAAAGACGACGCTAGCTGGCATGCATGGTCTATTAAGAGGGAGAAAGAAGCAAAGAAACCCATTAAGAGTTTCAGGAGTGCTCAGTGGATCCTTACCCTTCGCTCCTGTGCTTTCTCCATTTGCAGCCTAAGCAGTAGGCAACCTCACTCGGAAGTCTGCTGCAAATGCATTAAGTCATAAAATGAATGCTTCACGCTGTACGTTTAGGCCAAATGCCCTTACCTACTTCCAAAAAATTTACATCTTACTAGGAGTTTGCAGGAGGTAGTTAGTCTAAGGGCGCTATAGATTATTTTTAAACAAATGATGTTAAATGCGCATTTTGTAAGCACTGTTTTTATATTCAACCTGCTTAATTACATATTTACAGTGTTCCCAGATTATATTATGAATCAAAATTTTACCTGTATTCAATAATTATGTATTTATAACTTTCTCTTTGCAAAACTTGGAGATTTAATGCAGGAAAAAGAATACCACCTAAGACCTATTAATGTCTGTATTTATTCACATCTGACTACCAATTATACGTGCTTTAGACATAAAAAAATGTGCTCCATATATTTGAATGTTTACCTCAGACATTCCTTGTTAACTTTCTTCGGATATGAGAAAGGATGTGTTGGGGCTCAGACGCTCCACAGTGCGCCTCTTTGGCACGAATGTCCTGCACTGCAGAAGACCAGAGGCTTCTGATGAAGCAGAGCTTTGCCTTGACCTTCTGTTCTCCTGTGTCTTCCTCCTTTTTCCCTGACGTGAATCATCGAAACAAAAGTTCCTCTTCCCAAAGGTTGCTCAGAGGCTCTAGAACTTCTTTCCCCCAAAGCCAGCTTAGGTGACGTACAAAGATCACCTCTTCTTTTTCACTGTAGACTGTTATTCCAGAGGGATCCTGCCCTAGAGCTGGGAGAAAGAGGAGACAGAGAAGACAAGAATCCACACAGACAAAACTTGCAGGTTTTCCTCTCAGGACATTGTCCTTGGATCACACCGTTTTTACCCAACCACATGCCTACATGCTATCAGTTCGTCTTTAAATTTACAAAGAAAACCAGCCTTTACCCAGTCTTTGGGTCTGCATTTGTGAAGATTGTTATGTCATATAAAACTTTGGTTAAATATTAGGTTTTTCTCCTTTTAACCTACCTTTTAGTATGGGTAGGCGAGGAAAAGTATCACAACTTTCCACCCATATGGATATAAATTGCTTATCTTCAAAAGGTGTATAATTTGACACTTAAAGCACATTATCTGCTTTGAGCTTTGAAAATATCCTACAACAATAGTTGACAGTTATATCTATATTTTATAACTGATGGAACTAAAGTATAGAAACTATAATTTATCTGTAGTCACACACAAGAAACTGAGATTTAAACATAGGCCCTGTATCTCTAAAGCCCATGCAATTAAGCACTACCCTATGGTGAAATATAAACAAGTAAAGGACACTGATGGGAGAGTTTAAATTTTACGTGGTCCACGTAGCTTGAGCATGAAAGGGCTTTTCCCAGCAGCCATCTGTCAAGATGAGCCAGAACTTGAAAGGGATAACAGTCAAGAAGTGTTTCTAAAGTCTCCTAAATACTTTACTTTTCCACATAAACCATATATATATATATATATATATATATATATATATATATATATGAGAGATTAAGAGATGGAAAGGGACAGCCAGATATTGGAAGTCATATCTGCTCAGCTTTTGATTCAAAACCAAAAGGTTGTTTTTCTTACGTGTATGCCCATTCTCTTTATTTTCTTGAGAAAAATCTCCTCTTTTTCCTTCTTTAATGTCACAGAACATCTAAAAATCATTTAAGGTGGGAAGATCATTGCAAGTTACAGTTGAAAGCCGCAAACTGAAAGAGAAAAAAATCAGGCACATACTGAGAAAGAATGAGAGGCATGTCCCATGTCAGGAGGGCCCAGCTGCTCCTGTAAATTATACCCTTGTCATGGACCCAATCAGTAGGGCTTCCTGAAATGACTTTCATTAAGAATTATGCAGGGTACAGGACAGAATAGGACAGTAAGCTGATCCAAGGTTGGAGAGAGGAGAAGGACAGAGGAAAGCAGGACAGCAAGGAGGCCAGGGAAAAGGAAGAGGACAGACAGGAAGGGGCGAGGGGAGTGAAGAAGAGGGAAGGAGGAGGAGGAGGAAGAGGGGGGCTGAGGGAGGGGAAACAGTGGGGGGGCAGAGGAAAAGAAAGCAAGGTACTGGTTCAGAGGTAGAAGAGCACAGCTGCTGTAGTATTTAGGGTTTAGTCTGGGTGGTTTAGCGGTACCCAGGGTCTGGGAGATGGTGAAAGAACACAGTCTGTATGAACCCGTGGATGGAGTCAGGTCCTGTGGCAGATGACACTGAGCTAGGTTTTCTATTTGCACCTAACTCTTGCAGGAATCTATAAATACCAGGCCACATAAACCTTCTTCAACCCTTAGAAAGTTTCTTGCTCCTAAAAGTTAGGAAAGAGTGTTCAAGAAAATTGCTTTGCTATATTCATTTTTAAAGTATTACTCTCCTTTTCCTCATTGAAGTGAAGCCCTAACCTTCCTGTTCTCAAGCATTTTATAATACTTTTGAAAACATCTTTGTTACATCCTGAATTTAAGACTCCAGTTCTGACATGTAGCTTTGGTTTTTCTCTAATTAACCTTGTGTGATATAAATTTTAATTCATCTTTACACTGTCTCTAACCTCCTTATTTATACATAGCTATGCCTTAGAACGTTTATGGTAAAAGCTCATGAATTCCATGTTGTATGCCAGTTCTTGTGTGACTTCTTTAGAAATTTTGCTTAGAGACAGTAATAAATATTTATAAAGGCTGTAGATACATAAATACCTTTAAAGAATGTTACCCAGTTCTGAGGTCTGGAGCTAAAAACCATGGAGAATTTCCATGGCACCCCAAAGAATAAGAATATGACATTATTTGAAAGAGTCTTTGAGCATTATATCTGTAATCAGTAATTACACACTTTTGATACATCTGTAATTTGCATATATGAGCTAAACTCCAAACATGCAAATGAAAATCTTGTAAAAATAAACATCCCTGTTTTTCTTATGTTGAGTGGCATCTTCCATCAGCTCACCCCTTCCTTGTCTTAGTTACTTTTCTGTCAATGCTGTGACAAAATACCAGACACCTAAAGTTAAAAGGGAGAAAGGTTTATTTAGCTCACAGTTTGTACAGGTTTCAGTTCATAATCGGCTGGCTCCAAGGCAGGGTGGAACGTGGCAGAGGGACAACAGTTCATAGTGGCACCAGACAGCAAGAGCAACAAGCAGAAGAGAGAGATAAGCCTCTTTGGGTCCCTTATATTGTATCAAATCTCACAGGATTAGGGCAGTGCCAATCCAGTCAGTGGACCGATCCAGCAATCACCCACCCTTAATCCCAGCATTGCACTATGAATCAATCACAGTCTCTAGGTTCAGCCACCTCCAAAAAGCCCCTGTGATCACATGAGGCTTCGGGAGGACATCTACATTCAAACTATAACACCCTGATATGTTGATCTTAACTGTGTCTGGAGTGTTTCACACTTTTCAAGTTTAAATTAATAGCACCTGGTGTCACATTTCAGATTGGAAATTTGGCTCTCTGAAGAATTGATAGTAAGTTTTCACCAGAGGCCTGCAAAGTGGACCAGTTTTAAATAGATGAACTTTATATCTGTTTTTATAAGTGATTCACATATTCCTTTAGCTTAGATTTTGTAGAAATGCTGGCAAAATTGGCTACTACCAGCTTTCGTTTTTTGTTTGTTTTTTTTTCTGGTACCAGGAATCAAACTCATGGCCTTGTGCTTGCCAG